AGATCCTAGGCCATTCTTGCCCGGCCACATAGTTGTATGTTAACCTTTACATAGCAGCTCCTTAGAACCTCAGCTTAAGAAAAGAAACAACTTGACCCAGTCCTCCACCCACAGGCTCAGTCACCTAGGCAACCCTTCCTGGACTTCTTACTCATGAACTCTTTACCCTGCCAAACATCTTCTTTGTGGCTTCCTAATATCCTGCCTACACTAACCCATGGCTCACAAACAACCCATTCTACCCCTCCCCATATCCTGCTCTACTGACTATATAAGCTAGCCTGAGAAAAATAAAGTTTGCCACTTGATCAGAATCCTGTCTTGTGGTCGTTCTTTCTGCGTCTCCTGTCCCCATTCCCTATCCCTGACTCTCTTGCCTCAGGTTGATGTCCTGTGGGTTGGGACACTGAATGGCCTCTAACTCCTGGGTTTGAGCCGTTCTATCACTTTAGTCTCCTAAATAGCAGAGACTATGGGTGCATGCCACTGTGCCTGTGTCTTCATGCATTGTTTAAGGACCTCTTTGGCTCACAAACAGCATAAAGACCTTGCATATATTTGTTCTGAGAGTCTCATTATTTTGCCTTTCTGGAGTAGGTCTTCAACTAGCTTGAACTGATGTCAGTGGATGTAAGAGGTAGAGAATAAGATTCATCTACAGAGAGCCTTTTATCCCAGAGTAACTTAGAATTGTTCATCTTTCCCTATTGACTAGAGCAGTGGGTGGGTCACATGCTGGGATTAACTGAACAGAGTGTACTTCTGGGTTCTCGATTTTGTTCAATTAACTTGCTTATTCCTGTTCCAATATCACAGTATTTTAAGCACACTAAGACTATACCTTTCCATTGATACACAGTCCAAAGGTACACAGACAAAATCCCTAATTTTCTTCTCATCCTTGCTTCATAGTCATATGCCTATGCGACCTTTCTGGGATTTCTAAGGCTTCTCCAAGAACTGTTCATACTGCTCCTCTGGTTGAATTGTTTATTGCTTGGCTTATCTTATGTAATGATTCATGTTTTTATTTGTTCATTTCTCTTTCCTGCTAGACTCTGGAATTTAAGAGAACAGAGATTTGGGGCTCTTTCATTGGGTAAGACTGCCTGGCACTTAGTAGGGCTATTTGATATTTCCAGAATAAAATAAGCCATGGTGATATTTGGAAGGGTGTTTCTTCCTCCTGGTACTACCTCATAAAGCTATGTTCTCTTTCTTGCTCTCATGACCTTCACTGTTAGACTAATGGAAGCAAAGAGAGAAAGATTGGGATGCTTGCTTTTAGATTTCTTTCATAGCCAAACTCTAGGAAGTAGGAAATGAAGTCAGGAGGGTGGAGGGAGCAGAAGGTGGCCAAGTTCGCCTTTATTTTTCTGGGTCAGGCACCCTGTTGGAAAGGCTTCTTTTCCTGTACTTTCTATGGTGAGCAGAGCTGGCAGGGTGTGGAGGTCAGAGCATGCTCAGTTGGTAAAGAAGTTTAGCACATCCATGGGCTTTAGGGTAACACTCCCTAAACTGGGGAAGGATGTAGGTACACTTCAACATACCAAGTATGGCAACTAAACTCTCAACTGTGTAAAGCTCCACAGAACAGACTTGAGTGGTGAAGTCAACTCAGGGTGAATGCCTTCTCGGTTAGACTGTCTGCAACTGGTAGTGTCCAGCACAGGCATCGAGCAGTGATGAATCATGGAAATTATGCTGCAGAAGGTACTCTGTACTTTATTACAGGATAAACTGGGGAGCCAAGTCATTCTGGAAGGAATGCATACAGAGTTTTCAGATGAGTACTGGAAGTTTCCAAGGCCAGAGTCACATTTGATTGAAACCATCTGTTTATGTGAAGCTGATCCCAGCACTTTCCTCATACATCTCTCAGGGACTCATCAATCTTATTTCATAAATATTTATTGAAGGCTCTTGAGATCCAGGAGCTGAGGTTACAGAAATGGCACAGTAGTCCCCGCTTTTGATTGCCTATGGTTTAGCGAAAGTAAAATTGTGTTTGTGAATATGTTCCCCCCCCATGAGGTCAGCGTCTATAGCTTCCTGAGTCTTGTTTGCTAGGGCTGAGTATTATATTAATCCACCATTTGTTGATGAAATGGATGAACGAGAGAGCTCGTTCACTGAAAGGACTTCTGAAATGTCTATGCCATCGTGTGTTATTGCTCCTGTGATAGGGATGTATGCCTTTCAATTGGATACAGAAAACAGTTTTTACAGTGTATAGTGACCCACATTTATATTAGAAAATAATGATGCTGCTATAGCTTATAGACTAAGGCTATTTTGTTCTCTGAAATAAAATATAGTCTTTGAAGGGGCTGGTGAGATGGCTCAGCAGTCAGGAGCATTTGCTGCTCTTCCTGCACTCAGGTTCTAATCCCAGCCCTACAGGGTGAATTCCTTTTTTGTAACTCCAGTCTCAGGGGATCTGATGCCCTCTTCTGGCCTCTGTTGTCAATGCATGCAAGAGATGCTAGTCATACAATCCAACAAAACATCCACACATATAAATATATAAATTAAAAACAGGGCTGTTGAAAGCTAGGCTCACAGAAGGGATTACCATGTGAAGCAGCCTTGTTTCTAATTTGAACTAATAAAAAAATTTCTTGGGGAAAAAAAAGCTAGGCTCACGACTAAAAAAATAAATTAAAAACAAAAAACAAAATAGATTTTTTGATATGATATAAAGATATTTATTACATCACATATTAAGATTTTGGCAAGGTTAAACCTTTTTTTCTAGTTCCTTATGGATTAGTCATACAATGACATTAGTTATTTCATATTTTAACTTCAAAGGTAGGCATTTAAGGGATTACATAGTTATACATGAAGATACATAAAAGGAGCTGCCCCCAAAAGAGCTAAAATCCAGTAGCTGTGGAATTCTTAAGAAGCCACAAGTGATGGTCATGAACCATTTGAAACGGTGTACATAACTGGCTTATAGGTGCACTTTCCCTTAGGAAACAATTCATCATATGTGTTAGTAGTTCATGTTCCCAAAACATGAAGACCCATAGTAGAGTGATATACACATATAAAAAATAAATCTGGCATGGTGGCAATGCTTTAAATTCTAGTACTGGGGAGGCAGAAGCAGGTAGATCTTTGCCAATTTTGCAAGGAAAATTTCATTGCTGATAGTAATAAACATTTTCATAGTTTACAATTAACTAGGAGCTGATGTTTTAATTTGTGTAAGAATTTTTCTCTAATAAGTCGATTTTCTTTAATTCCTGAGGTATTAACCTTTTGAGTTATATTTATGGTAACTTTTTTTTTTTTGCTGTTGATGTCTGTATTTTTATTTGAATTAGAAACAAGATTGTTTTACATGTCAATCCCAGTTCCCTCTCCCTCCCCTTCTTCCCTACCACCTCCCCCCCAACTAAAACTCTACCTATCAATACTCTTTCTGCTCCCAGGGAGGGTGAGGCCTTACATAGGAGGTCTTCAGAGTCTGTCATATCATTTGGGATAGGGCCTAGGTCCTCCCTCGTGTGTCTTGGATCAACGAGTATCCCTCTATGTGAAATGGGCTCCCAAAGTCCACACCTATGCTAGGGATAAGTACTGATCTACTACAGGAGGCCCCATGGATTTCTGAGGTCTCCTCACTGATACCCACGTTCATGGGGTCTGGATCAGATCCATGCTGGTTTCCCAGCTATCAGTCTGGGAACCAAGAGCTCCCCCTTGTTCAGGTCAGCTGGTAAACCTTTTCTTGCAAATAATTCTGTGAACTTTTTTTAGATGTCAGCTGGTAAACCTTTTCTTGCAAATAATTCTGTGAACTTTTTTTAGATGTCAGCTGGTAAACCTTTTCTTGCAAATAATTCTGTGAACTTTTTTTAGATGTCAGCTGGTAAACCTTTTCTTGCAAATAATTCTGTGAACTTTTTTTAGATGTCAGCTGGTAAACCTTTTCTTGCAAATAATTCTGTGAACTTTTTTTAGATGCACAATCGTGCTTTTATATAGTCAGATCTAAAGATTTTTTAAAAATTCTTTTGTGATTTTACTTCAATTTCCGTGGTATCCTTAAGACTGTTCATGTGCATAATCTCTGTTCTGTGTTTCAGTTTCTTTTTCAAAGGTAGTTCACAGGTTTTAGGAGTTTCCTTGGGCTTGGTGATGTCAACTGTGTATATATCACAGAGGGGAAATGGGTACCCTACGATCACATTAGTGGAATCAGGACAGCAAGACGGTTGGCCAAGTGGAGTTCCATGGTAGTCACTTCAGCTCTATTATTTGTCAAGCAACCTTTGGAAGTCACAGTTCGTTGTGTAAATTGGAGCTAATAACCAGAGCCTACTTTGTGTGGCCTGAGAATAAAAATTGACATGTAAACTGCTTAAAAAACAGGTTCTGGTACTTGGGAAAGTCACCAGTTTAGTCCATCTTAGGTGGGTATTGAGAAGCTTTAAAGTGTTTGAATATTCCTTGCATTCTCTAAAACCGCTGGGCTTCCAGCGTTTTTTCCAGGGACTCTGCCTGCGGCTTTTGTAAGGGAGACACGCCACCTAGGGGCCGCGGCTCGAACACCGCAGAGGGCAGCGGGGCTCTTAAACTCCGTGGGAAGGATGTCCGTCCCGCCGGCTTCCCTGTGGTCCCCGAGCATTTCTGCTAAATCCTGCAGGTTCCTCCCCAAACCCACAGATACGGTATTTAAGATAATTATGGCGGGCGGTTGTGGCTCAGCCCGTAACCCCAGCATTTGGGAGGCTGAGGCAGACGGATCGCCATCAATTCCAAGTTAGACTTGGCCGCAGTGGGAGACCCTACCTCAGAAAGATCGAACCGCCGCAAACAAGGCAAAACAAAACACACACACATACAAAACCCAGCAACAACAAGCAAAACGCATGAAGCAAGCTTTCCCCCTTCACCGGTTCCCACGGACCCCGCGCATCTCGTGCAGCACCGCGGTGGGCGGGACGCCAGGGGGTGGGACCTGTGTATCACACTTCCGCTTCCGGTCCCAAATGAACTCTCCCGCCACTGGGAAAGTGCAGCTGTCAGCGCGGGTGTTCCCTCCAGTTTGGTTGCTGGCTGGTTAAAGAAAATCTTGCGGGTTTATTTGGGACGGAGAAATCGTGGAGTTGAAAGTTTGCAAGTTGACCTGGTGGGACCGAGTGACAGGTGATGTTCTCGGGGTTTGGAGGGCGGGGAGAGACGCGGCCCGGGAGGCGCCCGGGGCCCGGGCGGGAACTTGAGGCACTTTTGAATGTTCTGGAAGGCTGGATTCAAAGGATAGATTTAAAAGTCTGTTTCCCCGGGGTTCTAAGATGGGGAGTAAGTCTCTTATCCAGGTGGAATCTACTTTTCTTTCCCTTGATTTCAGGACTGTCTCCCACTAAAACCCGGTCTGGTCTTGGGTTCGCAGTTGTCCAAGGGTGGAGACACAGCATCACATCCCTCTTGCTAAATGGGCCACCACCTGCATCCTTCCCAGTATAATCCCTACCCTCACTCGCCCTCCTTATTACAGATATATGTAGAAAATGGGGCATCGCTTAAGTATAATCACTTTTAATGGTATGTGCATGCAGTCAGTATTTTGTGTGTGTAGCCACATGTCTGTTTTGTTGTTTTCAACTCTCCTATCGTTTTTAACATTTCCCCCATCATTTAAGAATTTTTTAAAAATTCACTACTTTCAGAAGGTGGTCAAGATGCAGTTCTCAGGAAGGACTCGGAAGAAGCTAAGATTGGCTGGCGACCAGAGAAATGCTTGTTACCCTCACAGCCTTCAGTTTTACCTACAGCCACCCTCTGAAAACATATCCTTGATAGAGTTTGAAAACCTGGCTGTTGATAGACTTAAATGTAAGTGGCATTTAAATTCAAATGTTTGTATTCTTGGGAAACGAAGTTATCATTTGTGGCAATGAATGAAGGCAGTCCATTTGCTGAATTTTCGTTGAGAGTTTGTTATTCTGTTCAGGTGGCAGGGACTTTCTGATGAGGAATGTAATTCAGTTCTTTGTTGAAACTGTACCTATTATGGAGAGAGGGGGGGAGAAGAGGGGAGAGGGGAGAGAGAGAGAAGTCATACATCAAGTTCCCCTCTGCTTTGGTAGAAGGAAATATTAATGCCCCTGGAGCATAAAAGTGAGAGTAACTAGCTTAGTCTAATTAAGTAAGGCTTCTTAGAGAAGTTGAAATTTGGTTTGGTTTCTGAAGAAATGAGTAAAAAATCGATCTCTACAAAGGTTTGGAGCTGTGAACGAGAGCTGTTGTTTTCAGTGTCTAGTTAGGGGTGAGTGGAGAAGTGGCTGTCTGAAGGCATATTACACCATGCAGGATCTGAGTGTAAGAAGGACGTGGCCACTGAACTGAAGCCTCTTATCCTTTGTGTGGGGATGAAGATTCGAATGAGCTAGACACGAACTGAGACAAATACTAGCGTTGTCTTCAGAGTTTATGTTCCAGAATGTTCTTGCTGGAATAGCCAGGAGACGGGAAATACTGTTAGTTTTTCTTAGAGTAGCAGGGTTAGAGCTGCTAACACAGGAGATGGGCACTCATCATTGTCCAGTGTGAGTGAAGACCAGGGAAAAAAAGGTTATAGAAAGGGACGCCCATTTCTTTTTCTTCTCCTTTTTATCTTCCTCCTGTGCTGAGTAAGTCAAAGTAGACAGACTGCAGACTCCAGACTGCAAAGTTTTTCTTCAGACTGACATGTGGGCCTTTTTACTTCTCAACCTTGGGGCCTTGGTCTACAGCAGGAAGGATCACCCACAACTTTTTCATCTTCCCTGGCTGAAAACCTCTGGTGTTAGATTATTTTGTATTATTTGGCACCTTGGTGGGGTTTATCCTCTTACAAACACAAGTCATGTAATGTACTTGCAGAAAACAAAATTGTTAATGCTGTCATGTTCTAAGAACAAGTAATTAGAAAATTGCTGTCCATAGGATTTTTTTGTTTGTTTTGTTTTGTTTTGTTTTGTTTTTTCAAGACAGGGTTTCTCTGTGGCTTTGGAGGCTGTCCTGCTCTTGTAGACCAGGCTGGTCTCAAACTCACAGAGATATGCCTGCCTCTGCCTCCCTAGTGCTGGGATTAAGGGCATGCGCCACCACTGCCCAGCCTAGGTTTTTATCTTCGATAGATGTCTTTTTATTTATCTTGGATTTATACTTGCTTTTTAATCTTTTCCCCCCCAGTGCTAAAAACAATTGAGAATCTTGGTGTGAGCTATGTGAAGGGAACAGAACAGTACCAGAATAAGTTGGAGGCTGAGATTCGAAAACTCAAGTTTTCCTACAGAGTAAGTACTAGAAAGGCATGGCGGGAGAATGGTCCTTTCAGGTTGTATGTGTTTGCATTACTGAGTGTAAGTGATGGGAAAGGTCTTTTATTAGGCATTAGGTTTAGACTGCTTGAGATGATTGACATATAGTTAGATGATTATAGTACAGCATTTTCCTCCCCCTTCAGGACTGCTGTCCTTCTGCCCTCTGAATTTCTTATTGCAGCATTGCCCTGTACATTGTACCCACTGACTGACTATGGAGATCACCTGCATCTCTGTAGGTGTCATACAGAGTGATGCATGTTGTTTTTGTCTGGTTACTCCAGGAGCATGTGCAGTTGCCTGGCTCAGATGGGGGAAATTTAGAAGGTTTCCCAGAGGAGGGGGTTGTTCCCCAGTCTAAGCTTCCCTTGACCTCTGTGATGTAGTCCATGTTGGTTCTGCACTATTGATCCTTGTCCTCTGGAATGCTGAAATAACAGCTGTGCAGCACCACATCTGTCTTGGAATTGCATCTTGACAGATATCATAACATTTTTATTTTGGGAAGATAATTGCCAACAGTAGGTTGATAGAGTCATCTTGGATGGGAGAGCACAGGAGCCTGGGATGATGAGACTTTGAATTTATGAGAGATGGGTACAATTGAAGAGATATTGGTGTAGACTGAAAAGATTTTAGTGACTTATCCCAAGGGGATAAACCAGAGAGTACAAAATAGCTGATGGAAATAGTTTAAGGGAGGAGAGGTTTGACTCATGGTTTTAGAGGTCATAGTGGTAAAGGCACAGCAGATTTCATAATGGTGGCAGAGTAGAGTTGGGGTTCCTCACCTCATTGTGGCAGACAGAAAGCAGAGAACACAATCACAACCAGAAGTGGGTGTAACCGTCATAGGTCTGCCCCTAGTGACCTACCATAGTCAGTGAGGTCCAGTGTCCAAAGATTCTACAACTGCCAGACTAATGCCACCAGCTGGGGACCAAGTGTTGAAACACGAGTCTGTGGGTGACATTTAAAATGGTGTTGCTATTTTAAGATGTGACATACAGAAGAGAAGCTGGTCCTGGAACCAAGATGTTGAGTTTTGTTCTGGACACAACTGTGATAGTATCTTTAGACTTCTTTATATGCAAGTCTGGACTTAAGAGAAGGCATGCTTGGTGGGAGTGTAACCTTCTGAGAAGGTTGGAATCAACAAGACTAAGTGAGAATGCACTAGGGAATTAATTAGAGAAGGTAGTGGGGGCAGGGTGAGGAGAATCCCCGTATCTAAAGTCTGGGAAGGAGATAGAGAAGGAGCTTCGTGAGAATGAGGTGATGAGCTGGGATGGAAGTGTCACAGAAGCCAAATAAGGTTGGTGCTTGAATAACATTGGTCATATTAATAAAGACAACACAAGAAAACAACATCAGCCATTGGTATTATGCTTATTTTGTGCCAAATTTGGCTGTAAGTATATTGCTTATATTGGCCCATATAGTTTGTCTTATGAGTTAGGTACTGTTACTACTCTATTTTATAGATGAAGACCTTGTGTTCTTATATTTCATGCTCATGCTCATAAAATGGTAAATGGTAGATCCAGAATTTTAACTGGGTCATTTTATTTTGTAATGGTATTTTTAATCCTAACAATTTCGTAAACTTAAGTAGGTTATCTAAGGTTAGTTGTACAGTATACAGTGGAGCTGGCATCTGGATGGGCCCCTGGAGATGGGGCAGAAACCAGAATAGTGATAGCTGTTGGAGGAGAGAGGTGGCAAGGTGGGTATGGATGCTCTTGTTAGATGTTTCGCTAAAGTTACAGGGGAGATTAGGGAAGAATGTAGACGTTTTAGGGAAAAGAGAAGATACAGACATACACAGATATACTTGACACATGTATGTGTTAATTTTATTTTTTATTTGTGTGAGTGATATATGCATGCATGCAGGTATGCTCACCCATTTTGCTGCATGTGGATTGACCAGTGGCCAGAGATTGACACTAGGATGTCTTCCACAGTCATTTTCCTGCCAAGGGCCATCTGAGGTAACAGCAAGTGAGTTGGAGGTTTTAGTGATTGGACAAGGAAGGTGAGATGCTGTGTCCATGGAGATGGAAGGGAAGTTGCAATGTGTCATGTGGATACACAATCTTAATGCCGTTGGGAAGGCACTACAATAGGGGCCTTCGGGCAGCTGGTGAAGCCTACAGCTGCTTTTCTAAGAAGTGAGGAAGAAGATGATTATGTATCAGTCAGCTTTTGCTGTTTATAGGCTTTGTGTTGTTGATTGAATCTGGAATGCCTCCCCTAGGCCCGAGTGTTGAAAACCTTGATCACCAGCTTGGTGTATTTGAAGGGAGGTGAAATCTTTAAGAGGGGAGAGTGAGGCCTAGTGGGAGGTTTTGGTCATTGAGGCATCCGCTGAGGGGCATATCGAGACCCTGGTCTCCTCCACTCTCGGCTGCTTCCTTGCCACTCCTATGTGGTGAGCAGCTCTGCTTCAGCATGCGTCCCTCTCACAATGTTCTGCTTTGCCACAGACCCCAAAGTAGTGGAATAAATGACTGTAGTACAATCCTAATCTGTGAGCCAAGAATGAACCTTTCTCCCCTTAAATGGCTCGTCTCCTATTTTGTTAGAGTAACTGAAAGCTGATGAACTTTGTTCTGGAAAGTTATTTGACCTCTTAGTGCCTCAACTTCCTCATCTTTCAAATAAAGGCACAGGAAACTTCATTACACAGTTTTAAAAGTGTGTTTGTACATTCAGAATGCCTTAAACAGTGCCTGTACCTAGTTAAGTGCCAGGCACATGTTCAGGCTCACTAGTTTGGGCTTGGATAAGAATTCATTGGCATTGATAATTGTGTACTTCAGGCTAGAGACTGAATTTTATATTTCACATTCCTGTAGTTATATATTTTTTCTCTAAATGTTCTCAGTATTTGAAGATAGACTGTAGATGTGGTTATATATTTTAATTTAGAATTAAATATTAAGTTTTTTTTTCATACTTGGAACAGTCAAAATGAAAGGAGTTGAGGGCTGAGTTTTAGGAATGACTGAGAGGGTGAATATCCTGGGTGTAAGCTGGTAAAGTTAGGGGAGAGAGTGAAGAAAATAGCTGGGCCCAACCCAGGAGCTTTCAATGAGACAGTGAAGTTCTCAGTTTTACCTGGTGGAAATAAAATGATAATATCCTGGAAAGCATATGAAGAAACGTGTTTTCGCAGCTTCTGTTTTACCATTGGCTGTGTTGAGTCAGCATTTCTTTACACCCCTTGTCGTTCTAATGTGCGCATTTATTTGTGTTGTTTCGTTTCCAAGGAGAACTTAGAAGACGAGTATGAGCCACGAAGAAGGGATCATATTTCCCACTTTATTTTGCGCCTTGCGTACTGCCAGTCGTGAGTATACACTTAAATTCACGCTCAGATTTGATCTCGGGTTATAAATTGGTTCATATGAAGTTGGCATGTTTTTGAACTGCCTGTAGGAAAAAACCAGAATGACGCCGGGGGAAGCAGCATGTCATAGGCTGAACATCATTGTGAATTCTTTGAAATAAGTCGTTTTACTGGAAAATGCTGAAAAAAAGTTGTTGCAGATTTGCTGGACTAAAGTTTTATCTGCATGAGAGAGACTCTCGATTTTGGGATTTAAATTTATAAGGGATTTTATTAGGAAGACAACTTTTGATACTTTTCCAAGAAAAAAACCGGTACTATTACCAAGAGACATTGATTCAAAAGTGTACTTGAATTTGATACAAGTTCTCTAATTTGAGATTTTGAAGCCTATTGAATTTCATCTATTTTCATTTGGTAGCTGGATTCCTGTAACTCAATGCTGCCACCCAGAGGGAGAAGGAGCTAACTGCTTTTTTACAGTCTAACTTCCCCCTTAATTACTGGTCAACTATCAGAGCTATGGTTGTTTCTTTTTATTGTTAGGTTACGGGTTGAGTATTTTTGAATTGCTCCTTCTCACAAGATCCTAAATGATAGCATATTTGGCTCAAGGCTTCAAAGTTAGAGTTTTGGCTTTATAGAAAAGCATATGTTGTTTATATAAGCTACACAGCCACTAAATTGCTGGTAGTGTATAAAAGTCACCTCACAAAAATGAAATTATATTTTACATGCAGTAGTTATTATATAATGTAGCATGCATGCCAGCTATGCATTTGTCTTATGGATTGGTATATTTTTATTTTGACTTTAAAATATTGAAGTTTGGGGTGGGTGTACAGGGTGGGGGGTTGACTGGGAGGAGAGGAGGGAGGGGAAACTGCAGTCAGGATGTAAAATAAATGAAAAAAAAGGTTATTTAAAGAAAATAAAAAGCAAAAAAAAAAATAACCCAAAACAACACAAAACAAAAAACAAAACCAAAAATGTTGAAGCTTACTGTAAAGCTTACCCTTTTCCCTGGCAAAGTTTACTCATGTTAACCCATTCAGAGATCAAATGACTTTTAAGATTTTGGTGTTTAATTGATGTGTACAAAACCACCTCAAGAAAGGAATGCCTCACCTCCCAGTGTAACGGACTCTATGAGAGTTACTTTAAATGTGGTGAGCTATTTTTTTTATGCTATTCAATCATTATATTGGTTTTCTCAAAATATTCTGTGTTTAATCCTTTTTATGACACCCTGGGCCTCACACCCAGCATCCACGTGGAAGATGGTGGTTTCCAGTTTGCACATTCTGTCTGTAAACAGATGGACCAGTGCACACAGGCAATGACGCTGAGGACTCTTTCTCTTTACTTAGAGAGGACTGGTCTGCTCTTGACCACTCTCTTGGTGTCTGATTTGCCTTGAATACCGTGTTAGGAAATCTCTTGAATCTAATCATCATTGGGTTTTTAACTTATACTCATTTCTGTTTCCATTCCAGTGAAGATCTTAGACGATGGTTTATTCAACAAGAAATGGATCTGCTTCGATTTCGATTCACTATTTTACCCAAAGATAAAGTTCAGAATTTCCTAAAGGATAGTCATTTGCATTTTGAAGCTGTAAGTGTGTTTATATAAATACAAATATTTTTTTCTACTTTCCCCTCCATCTTACTTTTGTTTTTTGTGAGACTGACTCTTACTATCATTTGTTCTTATAGTGGTCTGTAACATTGAATAATTATATAGACCAACCTTATTTTATGTGTACTAACTGGGCAGATACCCTGTTGGTAACTTTTGTATTTAAAGAATAGGGAAAAATGATTGCTGAACTCTCAGTAGTTGAGACCTGTTTTTATATGTATATAAGTATAAAAATCATGGCAGGTAGTCCTTTAATAATATTTTAGGATTCACAGAATTTGGGTTTTCTAGAGTTTCTAGAGTTATAGAACTAGATTCTGTTCATAAGGTAGCTTAAACCTAGAGACTACCAAAACGTGGAACTTCAAACTGAACTAATTACTCTTGAAGACTAAAATTAACATATGTAAGCATTTTCAAACTAACTGGTGGAAGTCACCTATTTTAAAAGTTCTTATGTAGTTTTAAAACAAAAATTCCTGAGAGTCACATTGTTTGATAACTACGCCCACAACTCTGCCCTTGGAAAATACGACTTTAAATTAGTTGATGTTTCCCACATACGAGATAACGTGTATGTATATCTGTGTATAAAAGAATGAAATTAACCTTACTAAATATCATCTCAGTGTTAAGTGTTAATTAAAAATATTGTGAGATAGTGTTCATGTTTTCTGAAGCTGTTCTGAAATAGATACTAAAACATAGGCCATATTTTCATTTCATAATCGTCATAACCTTCCCCCTTTTCTCCAAGTGCCCTTAAAACCCAATCCTTATTGGTTGAAGACTCATGTCATGATTAGTTTGAGGTCTGGGTCAGCTTAACTTATTCTAGGCTTATCATGTGGGTGAGAATACACAACCAGGGTTTCTCTGTTGGGTGTAATGGCACATGCTGTCAGCCCAGCATTGAGGCAGAGGTGAGAGGAAGATACTAGGTCATGACCAGACTGGCTTACAGTGAGTTCCAGGGCAGATAAGGCTACACAGTGAGACCTCAAAACAGTAAGATTTAAGGATGTGGCTAATGACTTGTAAAAAATCTTGGGGGTGGGGTGGGGAGTGTGTTCTCAATGATCTTTTAGCCAATCTTGGTTACAGAGCACAAGGATGTAGTTACAGCAGCAGCTATTGGCTTAGAATTTGTCATTCTGCTATGCTTACTCTCTAACAGTACGTGAGATCAGGACAACTGTGTTCCTTTTTTGGTACACCTCTGTTATTTCTTTACCTGCTGCTGGATGGTAATGTGGCTTTGAAGACTCATGCCTTTCTCTTGCTGTTGATGCTCTGTGGCTTTGTCCTCTTGCTTATCTCTGTTAAGTCTGCCATCCCCAGGCCCCAGTTTTGAGCAAGAGAACCCTGTACACTCTATTGTACTTAACCTTTCATGTACTTAAACTTCTGTGGATGATCCAAGGGTTAAGATCACTTTGTAAATATTAGGGAAAAGAACTGTATCCAAACTAGCATGGGATCCTGATTTCCTGAAGAAGGATACCAATGACTGAATAGAGTCTGCATCCGCTAAGAGATGTAAGGAGAGGAGCCGATCACTGCAAGCTGACGTCTGCTGTATCTATTGAGTACCAAGAATTTGGCTAAATGTATTATGGGCTTCTATTTAATCCTCCCAGCAGCTCCCCGAGGAGCCCAAAGATCAGAGAGGTTAGAAATATCCCCCTCCCTTCTCCCTGCCCCAGGCAGACTAGTGGATATTTTGAGAGATGTAAATTATAAAACATGTTAGTTAATATGGATCAGATTTTTTTCTCACAGGTTGTCCTTAACTAGCACGGAAAGGAAGTGACATTTAAAGTGACAGGGCTCATCAAAAAGGATATGCAAACACAGGTGTGAGATTAGAGATTTACGTTGATGCTGGAAATGACGGCATTAACTGTAGTTTTGCTAAAATGCTCTCTTTTAACTAATAATTCTTGTCAGAATTAGAAACTAAGTATATTAAATATACCACAGGTGCTTTCCCCAACCTTTGTGTCTCTGTGTAACATCTGTTGGGGAACCATACAACTTCATTATTCAAAATTTCCTTTTCTGTCTGGGTATGGGTATGCTTGTATATGGAAGTCACAGATCAAACTTGGATGCCTCCATTTATTGCTCTCCACTTTGTTTTTGAGACAGGGTTTCTCACTGAACCTGAATACACTGATTCATCTAGCATGACTGGCCAGCAACCCCTGGGTGATCTTCCTGTCTCTGCCTCCCTGCCATGGGATAACAGACTTGGGCCCCACATCCAGCTTTTTATGTGGATGCTGGGAATCTGAACTTGGGTCTTATGTTTGTGCATCAAATAGTTTCTCTTCAGCCCTCTCTTCACCTATTTTTGGTGATCTAACATTTTTGGATGTGTTAGTTCATGATTAATGGTTTACTCATGTAGTATTCAAAGATCATTGTAAACTAAAACCCAAACAGTAGACTTGTGCTCCAGCTGGGAATAATTAAACTTAATTTGTGAGGCACAGCACAGTTAAGGACTTGGATAGATTTTCCTTTCAGTCACAAGAAAGAGGTATTATCAAGGGAGGCTGACTCATTGTTGCACACTGGGCTTTTTAGAATAGCTTGTTGGCTAGTCCTGGGGCTAGCCAACTGGACTATATAGAATACTGTCTCTCCAACAGATCATCTAGACAGCTTTATGGTATTTTTAGTGGGATGCTAGAGTACCTACAGTGCACTAGATAGTTCTGTGTAACTGAATTTCCCCCCTTTTTTCTTTATGTTTCATGTTTATGTGGCTACCATTTCCATTTATTGAATTGAGTATCAAGGATTGTTTTATAAACCAATATGAAATGCTTACCTCTGCATTTTGCTTTGGGATTGTAGCTAACTTTGTGGTGCATTTTAAGTGTTAATGAATTTAAAGGAGGACAGCTTTGTGTCTGATAAAGCTGAGAAGTACCCAGGCCTTGCAGACCTCCAGTGACTTCCATTTGTACTATCTAGTTGAACAACACTAGGGACGCCATCATCCCAGATGCATTGTTTTTCTAAGTTCTAGATGGAAGCTCTTGTATTTCTTGTGAAAACAATCTTAATCTCCCAGTCCCACATACGTACAGTAACCATAAGAACACTCGAGCATATTAGATGAAGAGTCAGAAGCAGCATGACGGCAGTATGCTTTCTTGTGCTCTCCTTCCTAAGCGGGTGATAGCTCTTCACTGTGGTGAATGCATCATGTCCCAGAATTCCAGTGGAGTAGGTGAGCCAACTTCCTCAAGAGAAAGTGTCAAGATTGGCTGTGTGTTCTCAGGTCCTTTGGAAGGACTTGTCCTTCTGTTCTCCTTGTAGACATCTTCTCAGTGCATGTAACAGAGATGGACTGAGGGATAGATTAGGGTTCTCTCTTGTTCCTCTGGAAAGGCTCACTGGAGCTGGTTCCTTTCCCCTCTGTTCCTCATCAATAATGGCTGGCTTTTTTCTGTTCTGTGTGCTCCTTTTATCCATTTCTAGCTTGAACGTAGCCATAGTTCCCTATCTCATTTCAGAGTAACATCTTTGCCTCTCTAGTGGTCTCCTAGAGGTCTTGAGATTCTTTGTTTATGATTTGCTTATTTTTACTTTTTTTTTTATGTGCATTGGTGTTTTGCCTGTATGTATATCTGTGTGAGGGTTTCAGATCCTCTGGATCTGTAGTTGTGAGCTGCCATGTGGGTGCTGGTCTTTGATCCTGGATCCTCTGGAAGAGTAGCCAGTGCTTTTAACCGATGAGTCATCTCTCCAGCTCCACTTTGTTGTAGTATGTTTTTTACTCTTTGCTCTTACTCTTTGGGGGTCTGCCACCCACCTAGTTTCCAAATAAATCACACATGGAGGCTTATTTTTCTTATGAATACCTGACCTTTGCTTGACTTGTTTCTAGCCAGCTTTTTTTTTTTTTTTTTTTACTTAAATTATCCCAACTACCTTTGCCTCAGGCTTTTTCCTTTTCTTACTTTTGTATATGCTACTTCATTCTTACTCAGTGGCTGGCTGGGTGGCTCAGTGGCTGGCCCTTGATGTTTTCTTCTCCTTGTTCTATTTTGCTCCTTTTTCCTCCTTTTCTCATTTCTCCTCCTATCTATTCTCTCTGCCTGCCAGCCCCTCTTATCCTTTCTCCTGCCTAGCTACTGGCCATTCAGCTCTTTATTAGACTATCAGGTGTTTTAGACAGGCAAAGAATCATCGCTTCACAGAGTTAAACAAATGCAACATAAACAAAAGCAACACATCTTTACATTATTAAACAAATGTTCCAGAGCATAAACAAAAGTAACACACCTTAAAATGATATTCTTCCACCCCACTTTGTTTATCTAATGTTATTTAGTGCTGTTGTTTTTACTTACAGGAAATACTTTATGTGTCTCAATGTGAATCTTGGCTGTAGCATACAGTCTTGTGACAGGAAAATCTGTTTTCAGTTATGGAAAAGAGTAGAGGATGAGGTTAGCTAGATAGAAGGACAGGAGGGCATTGGTGAAGGTTTTTGAGGAGGAGCGTGACACAAATCTCTTTGATGGGGATAACCACAGCGGCCTAGGTTGAGACTTGAGTCTGCAAAGGGGTAGATTGCTGATGAGGCAGGTGATTTCAGAAGGACATTAGTTGTGTCTGTTAATGTGGGTGAGGAGGATTGTTTGTTGAGTAACGAACTGAGAGCTTGAATTAGTGCAGTAGCTTGAGTCTTCGTGGAAGTAGCCTGAGAACTGCATGGTTAGTGGATATGAAGAGAGGTTGGTGCCGGATCTCAGTGCAGAAGATAAGGGTAGTATGATGCTGGTGATCTCAGGGATGTAAAAACAGGAGTATATTTTTGGGACAGGATAACGTATTTTCCTGTGAAAATGTTGCTTGTAAACGCCAGTAGGCCAATGGAGATGAGCACCAGCAGTTCAGAATGCTAGGCTGAGATTAGAGGGCAAGGGTGAAAACAGTGGAGCCAAAATACC